GTTAAACTAAGATACTTTGGTTCCGTATTTTAATTTTAAACAATTTAAAACTTATTAAAATTTAACAAAACAAACGTTTCGACTTCTTATAATTGAGGTCTTATTCAGTGAACATAATAAAATATATTAAAAATATAAAAATATAGTGAAAATTCTATTACATATGACGTGTGCACATTTAAAATGTAGACTGACTGCTTGGACTTATTCTTGTTAAACGCCTATCTATAGTTTCTTTTTCGCTTTCGTTTTGTCTTCCTTTACAAGATCTATTAACTTTCTCTCTTTCTCACAATACATAGAACCAAGACATACTTATTCATACTATTTTCGTACTCTACATTTTAAATCTGCACACGTCATATGTAATAGAATTTTCACTATATTTTTATATTTTTTATATATTTTATTATGCTCAGCGAAGAAGGCCTCAATTATAAGAAGTCGAAACGTTTGTTTTGTTAAATCTTAAGTAATCTTAAAATTACTGAAAAATCAACTTTCATTTTTTCACCAAAAGCCGGCCTGGGTGCACACTGTGTATTGTGAACCTGAATATAATATTGCATGACCCATATCGGTGCAGAGTACTACCAACATGTCTTCGTGTCTTTTTCTGTTGGTTGACCAATTATAGTTTCCTAGCAGTTAATTGAGCAAGAGATTGATAGTACAATGAAGAGATGGTGTGACCAACGCCCAGCGTTTTGCTAATTTTTCAACATTTTCACTATCATCGAATGTCATATCTTTATAAATACTCGAAAGGGTTTTGTTGAACAAATTTATACGTTCTTCTAGTTTTGTCACTTCGATCTTAGTATTTTTGTTGATTTCACCCTGTGTCGAAGACAATTTTTCGATTTCTAACACTTTTGTTTGTAAGTCTGTTACGACAGCCACTGTTTCTTTTAGCGGTTGGTTATGTTTCTTTTGTTGTTCGTTGAATGCTTCGATTCTGTCTGATCTTACGTTTGACTTCTCCATCTGTTCCTTCACTTTCAAGAGATTTTCATTCGTTTTATTCAGTTTTGTTCAAATTTCATTGTTGTTATTATTCATAAGTTTGAATAACGTCTGTCTTTTTTCAACGCTACCAGTGTTTGCGAAGACGGCTTTCAACATTATAATCAGACCTGTCTCTCTGTGACTGTCACGCGTATGTATGGTTTGTAGAACAGTAAGAGATCTCAGTCGACATTTTTAAAAAGAAGAGATGAAACGACTCAACAACGAAATGGTTTGGTTAATTCTGGCCATTGGTTTCAATCTCATTCACTTGTAAGCCTATCGGCACTTGTGCACAGTTTTGTGCACTTGTGCACAGTTTTGATCCTTACAATCGAGCTAATTAAATGCATTCTTACTTTCTCTAGCACCCATCAGTCTTCTTCACATACCGCTAGTTCAGGTATGTTCGAAAGTAAGTGAAAACTAATGTCATCGTCTCAGTTGAAAAACCCTTTCTTTTTCTACAGCGTCAGCTTCAATTCGACAAACTAGGTTAGCGTACTCAGATGGATTTCGTAAGAGCCGTTATTGGGGTAACTTGTCTCCTTATCATCCAGCAGATGGATTCGGTGTTGAATATAACGAAATACCCTCAGACTGTAAAGTATCTCAAGTTCATATTTTACATCGACATGCTCAACGGTTTCCCACATCAGCATTCGATGACGGTGGAAACACCCAACGATTCGCTTACAAAGTTGGAAACGCCTCTGTTAATGGAATACTCGGTGCAACAGGTGCACTAGCTTTCCTCAACAAATACCAATACAGATTAGGACTAGAGACATTGACTGCAATCGGCGCACGAACGGAATTTGCTGCTGGGTCACACTTCTGGACACGCTATGGACGACTATTATACAATGAAATGAGCGGATCTGTTCGGTGGAATGATAGTCTCAACGTCTTCCCCAACGGAACCGCACGACCGAAACCACTTTTGCGAACAACTAGTCAAGAGCGAATCTACGAATCAGCGAGATGGTGGGCTTCTGGCTTCTTTGGCAACTTAGATGGTGGATCATCTAGTACGAGTTACAATCTCTTGATCATACCAGAAGGCGGAACGGAAAATAATACACTTGCTTCATACGATTCATGTATCAACAGTGACAATCACGTCGTTGCGCACATTGGAGACTCCGCTCAAGCCATCTTTTATAACAATTACCTTCAAGCTGCTCTTAAGAGATTCTCGGTTCTCTTGAATCCTGAATTCAACTTGACCACCATGGACGTTTATGCAATGCAAACAATCTGTCCGTACGAAGTGGCATACCTCGGAAGCTCAGATTTCTGCCGTTTATTCACAGAACAGGAATGGATTAATTTCGATTATTCTCTTTCCATCCAGTACTATGGTGATTACTCTTTTGGAAATCCAACTGGTCGAGCACAAGGGATCGGATACGTTCAGGAA